TTGATTATTTTGTGGTTAACTTGTAATTTGTTTGAATACGGGTTAGGTAGATACCTCCTCGAAATCATATTTTAGAGAAAGGTAGTAGTAGAGATTATAAAAAAAAATGATGATTTGAATGATAATGATGGTCAGATTTAGGATTACTATATTACCAAACCTTTTCTTGTAGCTTGATGGTGATTCTGCCCTTTCCTCCAGACTTCTCGCTGCTATCGTTGCTCTATCATGTTGCCTCCTTTTCTCTATCTTTATCCTTGTGATTTTGGTCTTTGGTGATGGGGTGTTTGTGTATGTTTTGAAGAAGAAAAGAGGAAGACATTGAATCTTCTAAGTTTATGTTCTTTGTCTCTCTTTGCTGTCTTTTCTTTCCTTGTTTTTTCTGTTTGTGTTGATGTCTGTATTTGTCGCTGCAGAAAGAAGAAAACAGGAGTCGAAGTGTTGCTTCTTTCTTTGTCGAGTCTGTTTGTGGAAGCGGAAGGATTGATTTTTCTTGTGTTGTTCTGGGGAAAAAGAGGAAGTAGAAGAACGGAATCTTCTTGGCAAGAAGCTTGGAAGAAGAGCAGTTGTCACTTTTTGTTCTCATGGGGAGGAAGAAGGAAAGAGGAGGATGTTGTATGTTCCCCTATTTCTTTCCATGTTTTTTTGGTGATCTGTCTATGAAAGAAGAAGGAGAAGAAAGGAAGTCGAGTCCTTAGGGAAGAGGAAGAAGAAGAGCCGAGAGTTTTCTCTTTTTTTGTTTGGAATTTTGAGGAAGGAGTCTATCAGCAGAAGGAAGGAAGTGACAGAGAAGAAAAGGTTCAAGGAATGTTTTTTGTTCTCCCCCCCTCTTTTTCAGAGCTGAAGAGCTCTTTTTATAGCAAAAAAACATACATGTTGGCACAATCTTAGTGGCGTTGAGGTGATGGTAGGCGCCGCCCTCTACTTCTAAGTAGGTTGTGGATTGGGTTGAATCGAACCAGTTTGGTTCGGATGGTATAGGCTGAGTTGGGTTTAAAATTGGGCGGGCATGTTGACCTTTTGGTTGACCCGGATTTGGGCCAGTGTAGAGTGGGCTTGAAGCCAATTTATTTTATTGTACAATTGTAATTGGTTTAACGTAATAGCAAATTAGCGGTGTAATTAATTGTAATAACATTTTTAATTATTTGGCATTGTAGCTCTCTTAATAAGATTGTTATGACTCCTATTTTTTATTTCGAAATCGCGATTCAATTCTCACAAGACCCAACGTCTTAAGAATCAATTAATTCACATGTCAAGTCATCACTAATGAATTGTATCAATTGAGATTAGCTATTGCTAATCTCATTGAATTATGGCAAGCAAGACCCACCCAAGCACTACAATTATGTTTAACTTAGAAGATCATTCAAGATTTGTTATTACACATCTTAAACTGACACTAAATTTTAATTGATTAAATATGTTTTAACCCGGACAAAAAGTGGTGTCTACAATGAGATCATATGAAATATATGTTGTAAACCCACCGAATCCACCCAACCACTTATCATCCGCAATCACCCAACCCGCCCACATGTAATATTTGAGTGGGTGTGGGTTCGTTTCTCATTCACCCACCACGTAGTGGGTGATTCCAAACCCAGCCAAATCCGCATAAAACCACCCACTCCTCAACCCTAGAAAAAGGGTGGCTACATGATTTTGTTCCTTATACACATTCACAACCCTCACCAGGAACGGATCTCATGCATAACCTTGTGGTGCATAGTCATGCATAATCAAATCCCAATCCGCCACATTCGCGCCCTCTTCTCTCTCCTGGAAAACCTTTAATTTTCTCCCTTTAATCTTTAACGAACGATTTCTCGCTCGTTTCAAATTGGAATTTAATTTTTTTTTGCACGGTTAGATCAGATTAATTGTGCTCTTCAAAATTATATACACTTTGATATACTTTTGGAACAAAAAAATTGAGCTATTTTTTACCAGTTTATATCATATGGTATTGACTAGTATTAAATATAAGCATACCATATGGTATGAAATATACCACCCCATACCATGGTGGTATAGTATATGGTATGGAGTTGGCTATGAGACGTATGAATTTTTTTTATCCAATAGATCATGATTAAATCATTCCTCAAAAAATATTGAAAATGCATCTCATTTTGTAGAGCACAACGAACTCTTCCATCCGTGTAAAAAAAATTAATATCCGAGTTAGAATGAAAAAAATATTATCCTATTAAGAAAAATAGGGAAAATAAATTATCTTTAATTCACAACCCTTAGATCTATAGCCACTTAAAAGGAAGAGTCAAGATTTGGTTACTAATTATAAGTACCCTAAAATTATACACCCTAACTTGAGCTACCTTCAACTCCTCAAATCTCCACTTCACGTCGTGGAGTTGATGGATAATTGGCGCGTAACTATGATCTCATCCAAAGGCCCCTAAAGACTAAAGAAACATCCATGCCGACGAAGAGTGAGTGGCTGCTTGTTGGTTTTACGTTTCTTCGGATTCTGACTACTCGATCGCGATAAGAGAATTAGGGTTTTCAATCATATGATCAGTATACTTGCATGTTGTGTAATTGAATCATAATCATCAGGTTATGCAGAGCCGATGTTGAGATATGATCTGGGCTCTTTTGGGAAAAGAAAATCCCTAAGACGGACGATATAGCTAGACCTGTGTATCTACAAAACACTATAAGCCAATGTCAATAAATCATTTTTGCTACATCAGCTGGTGCTGAATAACCCGTACACTGCAAAGGGACCTTCTGGTAACTTCCTCAGTCCTTCTCTCTCTCGCTACTACACACTGAGAAATCTGACCAACCCACCAGTCCGAATCTTTGCCGCACTCTCAATCATCCTGCGTCGGCGCCGGAAGTCCCCTACCGTACCCCCGCCTCCGAGCGAACATTCTTTTTAATCGCAGCGCCAGCCGTGGAAGTTCCCTTCCGAATCATGTTGTCAAGCTGGAGAAACAATTCTATCCTCCCTCAGTGCTTTGCGACATCGGTCCTCGGAATCCCCTCCAAAATCCAACCACCGGGCAAACAATCCTTCTCCGTCTCGCTCTGTGCCTTCAAAAATCGGCTATGTTCTTGCTGATTTGCTCTCAAAGGCCAAAGGTATGGACCATCCTAAACCTATTCATATGTGTCGACATTTTCCCCAAGTTTCTCCAGAAGGAGGCTAATCCATAGCTGAATATTCTGTGTGATTCATCACATACTTCTATATCCGTTCCTTGCATGCACATAATCAAGACCCATTTTGGGCATCGAACCCATCAAAAGCAAAAATGCAAAATAAGCAATCCAAACACAACAATAATAGCTAAGAGTGGAATTTAAATCGGAGGAAGCAGGGGAAGCGGTGTCAAACTTAAGTGTGGGGGGGATGTTTTTATTTTGACTGCATTAGATCTGATTGTGTGCTTGGAGCCTAATCCACTATCCAAATTTCGATTTGAGGGCTCCAAGTACGTGTTTTCCTTGCAAATTGCCTACTCAGTATGCTTTGAATTGACAGTCTCTGTAATAATGTGCAACCTAGGGAGGTAGTGTAGCACTATAGAGGATGTTGAAGTATAATATTTTTCCTATCTAGCTCTCTGCTATGCCGGTTGATTTTGTGAATTAGTGGAGCTAAGACTGTTGAATTCATGTGGTAATGGTGACTCCATTTGAATTGTGTTATGGACTCGTGTATCGAACAAGGTGCTCATGTGGGAAATCAAAAGCAGTTGGTCCTCCATGTCGAAATCATTGAAATCTTAAACATGGGGTAAGCCCAACGTGAGTGGCACCGTTCATTGCACAAAATCGGGTTTTGGAAGAGATTTTAGTGATCTTAGTGGGGTACTCCTACAAAGTGAAGCTAAGATGTCTCTAGTCCAAGTAAAACTTCCACCCATTGAACGGTTTGCCTACTCGAGGATGTGTTTTTAAGGGCACTGATAGAGCTTCCGACCCCCCTTAATTTCATTGACCCTCCACACGAGTTGAGGAAAAGGAGTTAAAAGAAGTACTCTGGCAAGCGCCAGATGTACAGAAATTACCCTTGATCGACTAATAAGGGTCGACCGTGCAAAAGACTGCAGTTGGAACCCCGCCAAGTGAAAAAGAGAAATGTAAAATGAAAGTGCAAAAAAAGGGGTTCCAACGGTGAAATGAAGTGAAAGCGCACTCCAGTACAATGAGTCCTTGGTTGTGTATGGTGTGAATCCCTTTATCCATGAACTGGTTGTCTTACTTCCACTTCTTCTAATGATCCTGGCTTGAGTCTAGTACTCGCATTGAGAGAGATAGGGAACGTCTTAGAAGACCAGTTGACCTTGTAACCTGCTATATGATCTAGGAAATCCTCTACCGACGATCGGGGTTGTCTATTTCTATAGAGGTCTGGAGAGTTGCATTGGTTTGAGTTAGATTTGCTTGGGGACAAGCAAACGGTTAAGTGTGGGAGAATTTGATAGACCAATAATTACACATGTTTATACCCCTATTCTTGGGCCGTTGGAGAAGAGATTCTCGTGTTTTAAGTCGATTTCACGCTAGGTTGTGTGTTTATGTCATATGTCAGGGCTTGGCGTTGACGTTAAGGCGAATGTACGAGTTCTGGGTCAAAAGGTAAACGTTTGAGTTGAAGGGTGTTGGAGGAGCAGAATACCAGACCATGAGCAAAAATACCATTCGCCGGGTAAAATTTTGAGGAGGTCGGGGAAAAGTGATTTTGGGCGCCCATAGTCCAAAGGGGGCCCGAGCAGACAGCAAAAATACCCGATCGGGTATACTTGATCTCGATCGGGTATTATCCCCTGTACCTGTGCGCTGCGTTTCGAAATCCCCGGCCGGGCACCTAAAATACCCGACCGGGGATTATGACCGGGGATCGCGGCCTGCTGGTTTTTAAGGGAAAGAAAGCTGATTTTTGAAGGGTTCCGAGTTTTAGAGAAAGAAAGTGATACCTAGAGAGAAAAAGCGACGAACCAGAGTTCCCAAGCGCCTTAGATCGATCTTCGTCATTATTGGAGCCTGGATAACGCTTGGAGAAGTGCCGATTGATGACCAGAAGCAGAACCTCATTCTTCACAGCATGTTTTCTTCTTCTGAGCTAGAGTCTGCTTTGACCTAGAAAGAGAATATATGTCTAGGTTAATAGAGCACCCTTGATTGAATGTAGTGAATTGACGACTTTAGTCGAGGAGTAAATTCACCATTCTGTACAGGATTTACTTCGGTAGAGGAGGTTTGATTCGTTAGGGCCTCAATCTGTTTACTCCGGTGGAGGTTAGTCGCCCCTTGGGGACTCAGATTGAGAGGGTCTGGAGACCTTTATTTGAGACTGCAGACTGTTTAAGAACCTCCCGCAGTATAACTATCTTTGAATTCGAACTTCGTAAATTACAATCTGGCTTAACTGCAGTCTAGGGGTAACCATATCCGGGTGATCGCTCTCAACTTGAAAACACCCTTTTACTACTTTGCTTGTTTGTTTACTTAGACCTTCACTACACTTTCACTGCTAAATAATAAGAATTCATGGAGTAGTCATCACACTTAGGACCTGGATTGACATTAAAACCCAAACCCGCTATACTACGCACTAGTAGGTGGTTGCATTTGACCATTTTCTAGTGTGACGGTAAAGGCGAGTCAGAAAGTAAGAGAGAAAGAGAAAAGATAGTAGCGAAAAGTTGTTAGCTTTTTCATTAATGACTGACAGACTCAACGGATAGTTCATACGTATCCACTACTCTCATGCCAGCTAGCAATCTCTCGCTTTGAACTCATCAAGGTATTCCCAAGTGGCATCTTCTTTTGAATGGTGTGTCCACTGCACAAGCAGTTGTGTCGTCGGTTGATTCCGCATGGAACCATCCTTCTAGCCTATATTGCCTCTAGTTCCAGCTTAAGGGTCCCCATCTCATCCATGTCAAGAAGTGCAGGTTGAACTTAAAGTCTAGTCCCACGCGCTTGCTTCAAAAAGGAGACATGAAATGCTGTCGTTAAGGGCAAAGCTTCAATTAAACCCAGTCTCCTACTTGAAATACCCTCTCAGTCCTATATCTATCCTCCATATGCTTCTGGCGGTTCTGAGCCATGGCCAAGTTATGCCTGAGGAGACCAACCAATCGTTGTTGCTTCCTCAACTTCTCTACTATTGCTGCAATTGGTGTAGATAGAGGGTTCTGAACTGCAAAATGGGATGGAAGGTAACCATACAATGCTTCGAAGGGAGTGACCTGTAAACTAGTGTGAAAATTGGTTTTATACCACCATTCAGCCATTGACAACCAAGAGAACCAGGATTTAGAGCCATTCAATACCATACAACTGATATAGTTCTCCAAGCACCGGTTCAACCTTTCAGTTTGGCCATTCATATGAGGATGATATGCAGTTGAGTAGTGCAACTTGATGCCTTGGAGTGCAAACAGCGAGGTTCAGAAGTTGCTTGTGAAGAGTGCATCTCGATCTGAAACTATAGTCCCGGGCATCCCATGGAGTCTAAAGGCCCCATCCAAAAAGACTTTTGCCACTGTTGTTTCTGAAAATGGTCTACTTAGGCCAAAAAAAATGGCCAAACTTTGAGAAATGATCGATCACCTCCATGTCATGGCTGCCCAAATTCAATACCCTGGCATCATAGCAAAACTGATGCCCTTACATTACCCAGGTGAATGAATTGCACACTGAACTGCTCCACAAAAATGTACCATCAGCCAATTTTACTCGCAATGGAGTATCTGCTTCCACTACACACTTCAATTCCTCTACTCTCGCCTTATTGGGGAAGGTATGTGTGCTTCCTGACTTCCTGTATCCACCAGAATCATCAATTTTTGCTTTCTTACCTTGCCCTGCACAATAAGGGAATTGGTCACTCCCCCACTACCGAGAGCTTGCATAGTAACCTCTTCTAGTTCTGGCAACTGGGCAGCCACCTCTTCTAGATCATCTTCCTCATCACTCCAAGGTTCAGGAGGTATGACATCCTCATCCTCAGCCTGTAATGCATTAAGTTGTTTCTTAGCAGCCTTACAAACGTGTCCATAGAAGTACTTCTCACCACACTTGTAGCAGGCACAGTTAGCCATCCCAGTTCTGGTAGCAGCAGGAGCCGAGTAGGGTTTAGAGGATGGTTTCAGAGTTTCAGGTTGTCGAGCTGTCACACTGAACCCCCCAGAACCTCGCGAACTGTTGGGAAAAGGCCTTGACTGTTGCCTCATCTTCTTCCGGCGAGCCTCATTGGAGAACTCCTCCAGCCGAGCAAATTGGAAGGCTTGATTGAGAGATTGTGGTCGCATCATCGTCACCACGGTTCGCAATTCCTCTTCCAATCCACTGATGAAACTGGAAATAAAGTGCTCCTCCGTCAAGGTCAGATTGTACGCGAGCATAAGGGAACGGAGCTCATCGAACTTCTCCTGATAGCCAAGCAATGTCCCCCATTGACCGAGTTTGTTAAACTCCCCAATGATACCCTTAAGAGTGCAATCTCCAAACCACTCACAGAGACCGTCAACGAAGATGCCCCAATGCTTCTCCCGGCGCCCCACACACCAGCCATTGAACCATATATCGGCTCGGCGATCCATATACACCGCCGCTACTTCAACTTTCTAAGACTACTCAATGTTATACAGGTGAAACAACTTCTCGCATTTGCGTGCCTATTCCCGCATATTCTCACTCGAGAAAAAGGGAAAATCCAAGCGATTTTGTTGATAATGGAAATTACCTCGATGAGGCGGTGGAAAATCAACCTCCTCTTCACGAATCTCAGGAAAGAAAACGCCCCGCGGTGTTCGATTGTCCTCCGGCACATCAACTCCAACTCGCCCGGGTGGAAGCTGCAAGATACCACGATGGAGATGCCGTTCGGCGACCTGCAACCCGTCCTCAACGCGATGGTGGCCACGAAGCTCGCGGAGAAGCTCCGTAAATTGACCATTCATATGGCCAAATTGGCTATTGAGATTACCAATTTACTCGTCCAAACAGCCCAATCAAGACTTCATTGAATGGGATTGATTCAGAATATGCGAGAGCTGCTGCGAATGTCCATTCGCCCGCGTCATCAACCTATTGCTCCGGTCACGAAGCACAGTCAAGTGTAGGTCAAAGGCGTCTAGGCGGCCATCATGCATTGCATCCTGTCATCGACTGCGGCCAATTGCTCTTCCAAAGTCGTCAAACGCGTCACCGTCGTCATGCTGAATATCGCTCTGATACCACTTTATCAGCACTCGACCTAATACTCAGCGAGAATGAATGGAACAGAAGCAGAGAAGATAGAGAAGGTAAAGTAAGAGAGAGAGAGAGAGAGAGAGAGAGAGAAGAGAGACGATAGGAGGGAAAAGTTGTTAGCTTTTTCATTAATGACTAACATACTCAACAGATAGTTCATACTTATCTGCTCCTCTCATGCCAGTTGGGCAATCTCTTGCTTTACACACAACACACCGTATTGGCTAACTACATAATTGGTTCTTATCTTCTAATCTTTACAATTGGACCCCTAATTGTTACATAGGCTTAATATATGTGTATCTACCTGCTCATAAGATTCTTCGCTCTACTCGATATATCAGAATCAGGGTTTCTTCCATGATTATTATGTTGGCATGTGTGTAATAAACCAAACAACTACATTGTACGTATTACGTAGGACGCCTTCTCCTGATTGGGAGATGGATCCGGAAGAATATACTCGGTTATGGAGAGAGCATACCGCCTGGAATGCAGTAAAAGCTCTCAAGTACTACAAGGAGAACCACCAGGTTGGGAGGATTTTTTTTTTTTTTTTGCATGGTTTTATTCTCTGCGTTAAGTGGTATACAATCCATAATTGGAACAAATTGTGTTTTGAAATGGTATCAGAGTCTTCTTTAATCGAGAGGTATTTTGAAATTTCAAGCCCTTATAAGTATGCATTTGTTTAAATAGGTGTGCTAATAAGTGATAATTGATTCATATTTGAACATCTTTCAACTCCTGGATGGATGAATCGGCAGGATGTCGATTACAGAGTAGTTTCTGTGCATAATAGGTTTGGTAGATGTAATGTTGGTTTGAGATGGTAGATGTTTCTGTGCATAATAGAGATATGCGCTATTCGTCCTCCAATTCGATTTGTTGTCATCCTAGAAACAATCAACATCTCACCCGTGCAAAAACTCGAACCGAGGACCTTTCGCATAGCTACAAATTTATTTGCACGTATTTCATTAGATTACATTTTCATAATATTACTGAAAATGCGATGTAGTTTATTTTAATTTTGGATAACTGCAAGCTGTGGAAGGGTCTTCTTAGTTGGGAAATTTATAAAACCAAGTTTCATAATTTAATAAGTAACTAATTTATAAATGATTGTTTGATTTTATTTATTAAAAAAATTTGAGTTTCAAAATAAAGTAATATTGTATTTACATAACCTTTGAAATGAGTAGTATTTAGTCCCCCTGAGAAAAACATCAAATTGTATACATTAATTAACATCTTTGTGATTCAACGAAAAAAAATTAACATCTTTGTTGATAGAATTTCCTTTCTTTACATAAAGATTCTGAAGAGGGTATTTAGAAACCCTTTTAATATATCTTATATAGATATAGATACACCATAATGCAAACGAAGTCTTATGTACCTTAGTTAGAAAATTGTGTTGATATGTTATTCTTCCATTTGTGTAAGGTGTCAAATAAAATTTTCGGTCAATAAGTTGGTGGCTAGCCTTCTGGAGTGGGTTATGGAGATCCCTTCAATTTTAAAATCTAAGTATGTTAAATTGTATCGCGACGCTATGTTGATGATTGTTGTTGTTTTTTTCCACCAATCTGTATTAGTTAAATGGATGAAGTTTACGTATTTATCCAGTGATGATCAAGTTAAGTACATTAATGATTAATCTAAAATGATGTCACTTCTCAGTGAACAGGCTAAGCCTATATATATAACTAAACTGATATCGTGAAAAAACACACTAGCAATGGCATTGACAACTGCGACAGCATTCCTATTTCTCATCCTCTTTGCCGCCATCTCTACTCTCCTCTCCAGTTTAGACAGAAGTCAGAAAGGTGTTTTGACAATTTCCTACCGAAAAGTAAAGAGCCTCCGCTATGGGGTTCTGGACTGATGGGCTTTTGTTTGGACATTGAAGCCTAGCTTTCTGCTGGACTAAAAAGGGCTCCAAGTGTCCATTTGGCCTACCACGATGAAAGATAGATGGTTTTATGGGCGCAATCAACGGGGCCACAAGAAAAGCACCATGAGCCCAAAAGTAATTTTGAGTTGGACGGAGAGTCCTCTTAAGTTCTAACCCAACTAGGGATGGCGATTAACAATGTTGTGTTTATTTTATTGAATATAATGTTTGGACGTAAAAACAATGTATGTTTTATTTTTTTAGGTAGTTTGTTTCATGAATTTGAAAATGAAGGTTTTGTAATTTAAAAACTCACGAATTTATCAAGGATTTGAGATATTATGGATTTGTAACATCCTTTGTTTGTTGAGATGTTTTATCATGGATTTAAGGATGTGAGATTTAGAACGTAAGTTCAAAATTACCTTACTATCCTTTTCTATATGTTTGACTTGTTTATGATATGTACACAAAACAAGAACAATACGTACTAATAAGCATAATCTTGCCACAAGGACAATAATAATAAATAGGGAAATTTCAATTAACTTTTAAATTAACATAATTGGTTATCAATTTTTTGTCCTCCTTATCAAACGTAACATATAACAACATATATTTGAATCGGAAGAATAAAGAACTACATGTTCCATGAAAAGGTCAAAGGAAACTAGAACACAAGAAATTACATAAAAAAATGGGTTAATACCTTATTTTAGCCCGAACTATGACCATATAATCAACTTTGGCCCGTGTATTCAGAAATTAACATCCTGGCCTCAACTATGCAGCTTATAGACTCAATTGGCCTGACACATGGTTTTGACCGTCAATTTGGATGGTAAACACCGTTGACCGTTAGTCAACACGCCATGTCATTGTCTCGTCAGCCTAACAATGGATTTTTATTAAATCCATGATGGATTGGATTTGGTACCCAAATCCATCATCCAACTCCATGATTATTTTGATTATTGCATTATACAATATGAACTAAAAGGTGAGATTGTTTTGATTATTGATTTTTTTTATATGCGTCAACTTTTTCTTTTCATTTGTATCCCTAGTAATTTTTGTCTTATATTAAAAGTTACGATAAAAGCGGCATTTATCCAAAATAAACTTTATGCAAATTAATCCATAAATTATAATCTCAACAACTAAACAATATTTTATCAAAATACATCTATTATACCAATACATATATTTATATTATGATGATTAATTACAAAACAATAATTCAATAATTACTCTTATTCAAATAAGTATAGAATTATGTGAATAATTACAAAATGAAGTAAAAACGCAAAATACGTCAATTAGATATTGTGTATTTATTTTATAAATGTCACCAAACCTTTTCCAATAATTTATTATAGTACATGAACTCCAAACCCTCAACCTTAGTTGCTAAGTAAGTTTGGTGTTCCCGTCAGCTCGATCACAGCGCAAATCATGAGTGTTAACTTTTAATTACGTACTTTGAGAGAGAGAGGGAGAGAATAATCACTTTGTGAAAAGACGTACACCAGCCGTAAACATTCCACACACATTTACAACATGGCGTTTTGGGCTCCTCTTTTTGGCCTTCACATCCCCAACAATAACAAGATAATAATAATGGGGTTTCGAAAGGTCAGAGACACATGTCGATACGACCGACATGCTTTAATCGTTGCAGTCGTTTTACTTCCTCGGCCACACAAGAACAAAAACTTGGGATGTAATGTGATGTTGACAATACATCGTTTTTTAAATTTTCTATCACTCAAATTGAGTGATAGTTAAATCTCAAGTTTTGGTTGAGATTGTTTAATTAAAATTATTGTGTTTTTTTCTTTTTCTAACTATGTCCCTTCTATTTTATGTGTGTTGCTTTTTTATACTAAAAACAAAGAGTAAAAATGATATTTCACCACAAAAAGTAATATACTTTATTTAAACACTACAATAACTATCACAAAACCCAAATAATGTAAACTACAATACACCAATTTTCTTTTATATATATATATTATGCATGCATTAATAACAATAAATCAATTTAATTATCATCAAAACCAAACCATACATAATTAGACGATTTTTGTTCAATGCAAGGAGCAAAGGCAGTCAGCCAGTCACCGTCTAAATAGTAAGCCTCCTTTTTTTTTTCACTTTTGCCCCCCCTAAACGCAACTTTTTGTACGCTGTCGCGATTCGGGAGCAGGAATATATCGGGGATCGGATCAGGAAAAGAGGTGACAACAACCACACAACTTGCTTTGCTTAATTGCTTTCGTACCTTTCTCTAGACGCTTAATTGCATTTTATTATTAATTACTCACTGGCTAACACCAAGCTAGCTACATTGCTCCAGAAAATGAAGAATATTATTGCAACATAAATCATACAGTTTTGGATTGTTAACTTCATTCATTTCCTTAATCATGAAACATAATTGACTGTATGTATCTCTCTTTCGAGGGAAGTTGAATAATATATCAGGGAGATGGATCAGAAATCGGCCAAGTAGATACGCAATCGTTTTGTTAGAAATTCTAATGTTTGTTTTGTACGATGATAACAAAATAATTGTGAATACTTCTCGTACGTTAGAACTTGATATCTCTTTTGCAAGTAGAGTTGTAAATGAGTCAAATTGTATTGACAAGTGGCTCGGCCTTCAGCTTGTGAGAAATTCATTCGACATTTGGTTTATTAATGAGCTGAGTTTGACTTACACGTTTTTCAGTCTGCAAGCCTCATGAGGTAGTTCGATTCGGTGACTTGATTGTCGATAATTCATAGTTTTTTAGATTATATATCTTACCACTTATGAGCACTTCTACTATGCTATATAGTATTGGTGCTTTAAATGTGCAACTTAAAGTTGTACCATAACATTAAATGTATAAGTTTAGGTTGTATCATAAAGCAATCTGTACCCTTATGTTATGGTACAACTTTACAACTTGAAGTTGTACCATCACATAAAGGTACAAGTTCAAGTTGTACCATAAAAGAATTTGTACAAAAGTTGTAGGTACAATCTGAAGTTGTATCATAACGTAAGTGTACAATTTTAAGTTGTACCATAAAGGCAAAACCCTATAGCACCAATACTATATAGCAATGTAAAATTTCTCTACCACTTATATGTTGTTTAATAATTTAAGCACGTGATCAAATATATTTATTTATAAATTAAAGAGAAATAGTGTATCATAGACGGTTCATATACTAATTAATATTAAATAACAAGATATGAACAACAAAAATCAGGAACGAAATCCAATAAAAAAATTATGAAACTACATATGATATTATATATTTGATCCATCTCGCGAGTTAATTGATGAGCCGAACTCGAGTAGAGATAGTGAGTCATTAATACGTCTGAGTTTGAGTAAAACATAAGTCAATATTTTAGTAAACAAATCGAGCTCAAACTCGACCCGTCTATCAACAAGTCGAGTCCAAGATAAATCAAAACTCGTCTCAACTCGACTCATTTGTCGTCCTAACCTCATCGATACTACCTTTGCGGGTGACGTTTCCTTCCCCTTCAAGCTTGTTTGGATCTCGCATGTGCCTTCGAAGATATGTTGCTTCCTTTGGATGACCTATTTAGCAAAGATCTCTAGTTCTCTACTATGGATAACTTGAGAAAAAGAGACATGATCATCACAAATTGGTGCTATCTTTGCAAGTGTCAAGAAGAGACGATTTGTCATCTCATGTTCACATGCATGGGCGGACCCAAGTGGGTGAAAGGGTTGTCAATTGACAAACCTTGGATCCAATTTGGGAAACCAAAATCACTGTAAAATTTTGTTTTAGTGATTATAGTATTCAAATGTAAGATTATTTGACAACCTTTAATGATTTTGATCTATGGTTGAATATCCTTGATTACATTTCTGGGTCCGCACTATTCACATGTTCATTTTCAAAAGACGTTTGGGCAAGATTCACATCATCTCTTCAGCTGCATGGCCCTCTTCCATCAACGTATTCCTTCCGGCTTGGAGAGGCTTAGGGTATGACCCAAAGCTTAGTGATTTATATGAAAGTTCTACCTCGTGCGGTGTTTTGGTATATTTGGATAGAGAGAAACAACCAGATTTTTAGGAATATTGAGTCATCCCCAGTTGAGGTTTGCCACAAGATTCGTCATGCGATTGGGAGATGGCTTCGAGCTTTCAACTTTATCTCATATGAGTTCTTTCAGGAATGGGCGAGGATTGGAGCTGGCAGACAGATTGTTCTTTTTCTTTTGCTTCTTCGTGTTTTTCTCGAGACTTGTTTGGATTTGCTCGTTTTGTGGGTTTTGTTTTCAATTCTTTTTATTGTTCTCACGTTGGACCCCCTTCCCTTTTTTTCCTTTGTCTTTGTCTGTCATTTTCATTACCAAAAAATGGCAGTCTTCATTCATTTTTGCAATAAAAGTTCCGTATCATCGTTCATAAAAAAACGAAGATATCCGCAACAACCCCAACCCACAATCATGACGGTATAGTCCTGACTAACTTAAAACCACATGAATTCGCAAACATGCTGTAAAACTATGAGCACCGATCAGAAAAGGGAAAACCCCATCTCCCTTCTCTCCGATTGCTTAAAAAGTGCAGCCTACCGACGAGACCAAAGGGTCATGGCCGGATAGTACCTTGTTCTGCGAAAATAATTAATGTCGTCCAAGAAGCAAGAAATAATACACCTCCAGCTTTTTGTTAGCTAGAGAAAGGGCAGTTTTAAGAAGCCAAAAACAAAAGGGTGGGGAGGAAAGCAAACAAAGAAACGGCAAATTCTGTGCTGCTTCCTTCCACATGTCTGGTGGGCTGGGCACAAGACCAGATTTGAGCTATCTAAGTTTGGTCGCAACTACATACAAATCCACCTGTATGCGTATAAAATACTGTATATCTATAGCACAGTGCAATGTACCTGCCTGATATTCGGAACGCGAAGAAAAAAAAAAAGAAATTCTTATGATTAGTTTTGCTTTTGTCCTGTTAAATTATATATCTGGTCATGATATATATGATCAATTACTATTTGCAACCACTGGTGTGAAGGAAGAACATTATCAGACATTCAATTTTGCTTCATGTTATTTTTGTGAAGGAAGCAAGGAGGGTACATTGTTAGTACGACCGGCCGGACGGATATATAGGTCCCAGATCCCATTTGACATTGCCCTTATAGCTACTGCACATGATCGACGAGGATTTAATTAAATGATAAAACAAATCCACCATTCTTCTTTCATTTCACTTGTCATCCCAATCCATTGAATCTCATTAATTACATTTTGGCGCATTTCTCAACTCAACTCTCTCTATCTTTGGCCTTATATATTCAACAATTATACAATTGTCAGATGTGAGGATTTGAGAGGGATCCTCACACCACCCTCTAGTTCAGTTTGTATAATCTTAATAATTGATTTGGAATTTAAAAATGAATGGATTGCTCTTCCATACAAAGTGTCGATCAGCCTTGTTCAACTTTGAGAATACGGGATACGGTATGCGAGTGTTATCAAGTGGAAGAATAAGATAATAAGGAAGAAGTCGGAGGATCACAACGGTGAAAAATAATGAAATTAGTAGTTAGCAATAGATTGAATCATCAACGAGTTGTAATCTAGACATACAAAATGATAGAGTACACAACATAGTGCTCTTACACAATTAAAAGAATTTCAAGTTCATTTATCGCCATTAATTTTACTACACTTACTCACAACTCAATGAGCAATCTGTCACGAGATAGAAGAAAAAACAAAATAATATATAGTACACGAGGTCGAGGTCTTGCATATTTACATGAGTTCCAAGTCAACTTCACGCCCTTCATCGCATTTATCCCGCAACTTCAACTGACTCGATGAGTCACGGATTTTGTTGTTATTGTTATTATTGCGGCTATCGAACATCAATGTTGGAGAGAAGCAATAGGAAAGAAATTTGAGGCATCAAACACAAATTAACCTTGAGTGTTACGGGAATTTC